GCGGTTTCGGCTAATCCCATTTTTATTCTCAACGACACAATTGTGAATAAAAATGAGAAAAATGCCAAAATGCATGTGGATACATTGTTTTTCATGCGCACAGCACGCTCGCTCATCATTCAACTCAATGAAGCTAAGAGAATTATTATTTTCACTTTGCATTCGAAGCATCAAAATGAAAAACCAGCACGCGATTACTCAAAAAGAAATCCCCTCCAGAACAAAGCATATAAAAAACATGCTTGTTTATGAATGTTTCAAACGAACACGTAAACAAAACATCACCGACAACAAATGAAATGTACGTGGCAAACATAAAGCACACGGTTGAGCTGCAAAATTCAAAAGTTGTTCATTTCACACAAACACACACGCACACGCACGACCAAATAATGGGGCAAATTATTTGGCATGTGTGCACACGTGCATTTCACTCTGCTGGAATCGGCCAATAAATAACGAAATAAAACCTGAAACTGAAGGTAAAATCCATTATTGAGATTTTTTTTATCATCATACACACTAGTACTCCACATGAACAACCCAACTACAGTTATGACTCTATTTCAGTTGCAAACTATTCGTACAGTTTACTTTGTGGCATTGTTTCATTCGAGTGTTGTGAGGAGAAATGTTGGGCGAATAAAAACAGACGCCGAAAAAACTTTTCCTCGCATTTTAATGAATATTAAATGCTATGTTTTGTCTATCCACAGCGGAGCAGCAGCGTAAATGCAAACGAAAGAGCGAATAGTGCGGCGAGTAATAAAATTTCGTTCGAGTGGTATGATAATGGTTATTTGAGAAAAAAAGCTTTGCAAATATTTGGTTGACTTGAAAGAAAATAGTCCGGCAAGCAATGTGGTAACGGCGAAAAATAGACCTTGCTTGCCTCTCATGGGAACAGTCAAATCTCATTCGGAATAGCAAAACAGATGCTCGCCTTTATGCTTGTTCAAATGAGAAGTAACCACTAAAAACTTCGCATAAAAACATGTTCTCGTTCCGCTCAAAGCCTAAAGCATAAAGAATTGCCTTCCGACCAGAATGTGGCTTTGCTTATGCTTGATTGTAATCATTTGAATTGGTTTAAGTTAAATTAACTGTGCAGTGTGTGTGCGTTTAGTTTCGCAAATCGCCATTTTATGGCTTCGATACGATAGAATCGGAAGATAAAGCTACAAATTGGCCAAATACCTAGTTAAATCCGTGTCGAATATAAATTATCACCACCACCCACAACAAGCATTTAGTCGTTAAAAAGCTCTAAAATAAATTGACCTTATGAGAAAATTACGCTTGCAAAGCATGGACGACATCGATTTAACCGTTTGAAAAATAGCTCAAGCACGCTGTATGTTCCGCGTGTTATTTTTGGCTTTTAAACACTATACTGTGATGACAATGTCAAAATCTGCACCTGCATGCATTTGAACTCAACATTGGCGTTGATGACGACGATGATGATACTGAAGCAGAAGCATGCTTGCAAACAAGATGTTACATGGCTGACGGCACGCTTCTGACGGCATCACTATTGACCCAGTGACCATGGACTCGGTGAATATTAGAAATTGGGTCGTACACCGTCACTGTGCGAACTTCATTTCTATCGTTTTTTGCACTCTCTCTCTCTATTGAAATTTAAATTTATGATTTACGTTTGCAGCATAACAATTATGAATGGGTTTTACATATATGAACAATTTTGCTCATGAGTACAGAACTGCACTCGAGTCTGTTTGTGGCAAATGGATTGGCAATCTAAACAGAAAACAATGTAAGAACAATACATCAGACGCTTTTTATTTGATTTCATATGAAATATTAAATTGGCCAGACTTTATACAGTTCAAACACATGTCAAAGAAACCATTTGCGATTTTTTTTGTTGATTGAATTCAATTTCTCGACAAAGAAAATAGCTCGCAATTTTTTTATTGCTGGCAAAAATAAAAGAGATTGAAAAATGTGGAGATCTTTCACCAGAAATGGAAAAATGTATCATCAGATATCCGCATGCACATTGAATGTAGAAATATTTAAATTCCAACCGTAACTTCTTCTGAAAATTGGCGAAGAAAATTTACATTCTTTTTCTTTCATACGTATCCCTGGACGACGAGATGCTTCTATGCCATTTAAATAATTGTGTCAATAAAAGTCGATTGTTCATTTTACTTTGACGAACCGAATTGGCTCCCTTGTGCACAACAGTTATTTGGCAATGTTGTCCATTATTTTATTGGGAATGTCGAAAATGAGCGGTGGTAAGCGTCGTCCGATGACCGAGTTCATTGCCAATGTACGCATCCACTGGCCCTAATTCTATTGCATATTAAATGAACAGACAACTCGCACGATCAAAACGTGCCGTTCGACGTCATTCTTTGTGGGTGAATATACACAGGCCTCTCTCTATCTTTCCGTCGATTTTCCTCGCACCAAATTTTACATGTTGCGTTGGTCACCATTTTCATGTAGTTTTATCGCTTTTTTTTGTTTATGGCTCATGAAACTTGAAGCCGTTTTGCCAAGACTATATATTCCATTGTGTTTATTTTTGAGTCAACAAAATGGATTTTCAGTGTTATGCCCTTTCCTCCCTGTTTACTCATCGAAAAAAAAAGAACGAAAAGCAGGTATTTTCTTATCAAAACTGTTCAAGAAAAATAAATCCACATACCTTGCATCAGCATAACATAGCGTCCGACCATTTTGCTGTTACTTGCGATGGTGCCGCGTGATGTTGACGTCGATGCCAATCCCGTTTTCAAGAGGATTTTAGTTGTTTGTGTTCGCAGCTCAACAACAACACTTTCGTCTGCTGTGGATGGGCGAGCTAGCGGCCATATGAACGACTATACGGTAGTTTTTCAATCGAAAAAATGAAAACAAAAAAACAATTTCAATTCTCATGCGAACGAAGCAAGGGGAAAAAATGTTGTAAAATTCTATTGAATGAGAAGTGCACCGCCAACAGGCTGCGTGAAACAATAATAAACCAGAAGGCGGAAAAATTGTGGTTTTCCACCGTTTTTCATGAGTATAACTTAAATGCGTGCAACACGCAAATTAATTAATTACGTCGGCCAGACGCTTGGAGGTTTCCTTTTTTCCAGTGCTCTTTTGCAAACCGAAGCGGAAAAAATCGATTGTACAATCGACTCCTTGGCTTTATTCATAGTTGAAAGTTTTGACATTTTGCCCCATTTTCTCATTAAAAATAATGATTTCATATTAAAAATTACATTTCATATTTTGTCCTATTTTCATACAACACATTTGTTCGGATCATATCGCGCCAATGGAAAAAGGTTGGACGCGGAGTTTTGTCGCGCGATTTATTCAAATGCAGAAAAAGGTGAATTATGTGTAAGAGCAGCGCCTGTCGTAGCTTAAATGGATTGATTTGCATACAAAATTAACACTAATCCCAGCGTGTACCTGATTTACTTCGAGGATGTTTGTTTTCGATGCCAGTTCATTGGTTGTATGAGCCATTCCTGCGAATAAATAAAAATTAACACCATGGAAGAAAGAGAAAGAAAAAAATGTGTAGCACAGCAGCAAATTGTAATGCTTTAATCCAATGGAAATTCTAATCCGTTAAAAGCGAACGTCTGTCACCCAATAACCATCAGCTAATAAAACCGATTTCACATTCGGTTCACTCGAATAAACAAGATTTTGGGAAAATGGGAAAGCACTTTGATAATAAGTAGGCTACCGTTCGTGGAATGCTAGTCACTTTTCTCCCACGAAACGCAAAGAAAATAGGTTCTTTCCACATTTTTTCTATGGTTATGGATGACAAATTGAATCGAAATGAGAATTTTTTTCCGTATAAGAGAGAAAACATTCAGTGAAAGAGAATTCGGCGAAAGAAGCTCACCGCAAAAAATCGGAACTGCCAGTATAGGAAACGTTCTACATTCTTTTATCTAAACGGTTATTTTAGAGTGTTATTTTTATGTTTTCCATTTCAGGGTGTTATTTTTAATTCCGTTTTTTGCCACACTGAACATTCTGTTTCATGTTGTGTTGTTGTTATATGGAGAACACTCATTTTCAGCCAAAAGGCACGGTAAACGTGAGACGAAGCGAGAACATGAAACCGAAACTATAATTTCGAACCCATTTTCAAAGCAAAAACAACTTCAATAGACACAATAGCTCTTCCTGAAACAAGCATTTATCTACTAAAAAGCCTCCATATTTCCTCTAGTAATCGACTCCATTTGCCTTCCATTCATTTATAATGGAATGACCGGAACTTTTAAATATTCAAAGCACATCTCATGCGATGCGAATTTTGGGGTGCTAAGGCGCTTTGTTCCCAATTCGACGGTCACGCCACACTCCTTTTCGGATAATAATAATGCCGGAGTGAAAATCGCTTTTTAAAAATGTACGTTGACTAATTATGCGTCTACATATAAAGCGGCCGACGTTCACCATGTTCTGTTTATTAGCTATGCTCGACGCAAAAATGATTAACACGTAGCACACCACTCAGCCAACACACAACCAGTGAACGACACTACGCGGAGTGTGTGTTTATGTATATCAGAGTATAAACACCATTTACAAGTGACTTCACAGCCTTTCAACAACAATAACATTTCCTGTTGAGAAATTAATTTCGAAAACTTGCATTGAGTGGCCTAATCTTTGAGCCTCATGTTTCATAATTTAGAGTTAATTTACTTGAAGCAGAAATTATCAGTAACACATAACCGTATATTAATTTGCACACCATGATAAAGTACAGTGAAACGGTGAAGTCAAAGGGATATTGCAACTTTTTTGATCAGAAAAAACGCCATCTACGCCCGTAAATTATTTTACTGTACAATTAGATGATAGAGCTTGAACAAAAGTTCGACACTATGCATAAACTTGGAAAGAGCTTGATAAACTTGATGAAACACATATATTTTATGGTCGTTGCAATACCCCTATGAAGTGATTGGATTAATCTCGAGTGGCCGCTTTCAAGCCACATTTCCTTTTGCAACAGGATTACTTTGATGTATTTGACACAAAGCTGCGTGCACACATTCAGTGGACCATTTTCAGCAACAGCAGCAGCAGCCGAGCTAATAAATATACAACCCAAACAGCATAGATGTGCGCTCTTTTCGTCATCGTCAGCAGGTGATAGCATTGCAATTATGCAAATGGGAACAAGTGATGGAAATGACAAAACTGAATCTAATTAAATGGGACGCGACTCGCATAAGCGCAGCTTGTGCTTGTCTTATTTCGAATGGCAGTGATGCGTTCAAGGGATGAGCACAGACCATTTGTGTCAATTGCAGCGTCATTTTTCTGAGACACATCAATCAGCCGAACAATGATGCTCGTTTGACACGCAACAATTTACTCGCTCATGGCTACGTGGACCATTTTTTTTTTGTCATTTCATTTTGATGTCGCGACTTTGACCCTTTTCATACCAAAAAGAAAAAACGGAAAAAACGACGCAAATACTTCAGAAAAAGTTTTTTTTTCTGGTTGAGGTCACCGATACATGAGTACACACTTTAACTCGTTAATAATTTTCGCAACCAAACATTCATTTTCAATTTTCCAATTGTTTTCGTTTCGATGGAAATGATAACATACGATCCCCATTTATTATTTATTCTAGCCGAAGGCCTTTTGATGTGGAAAATATCTAGCATCCATACACAGGGCACAAGGTACAATCGGGAATTGTCATCGACCTTAACACTTCAAATGGATTTGGCGAAACAATATTTACATTGTGCCGAAAATGAAAATAAATGTAAAATGATATGTTTTTTTGTTCAACTATACTTACCACGAAATTCAACTCGTCCGATGAGATTTGCCTTGGGTTTCGGCAAACGAAACTCCAGAATTCGCACAGTCAACGACATTTTTTTTTACTTTTTGTTGTATTCGTGTGTGTGTATTTGCTGTGTGTGTATGTATGGTTTATCTATCTGGCTACGTACTCCTGTTTATTGTTTTGTTTCAATGCAATTGCTCTTTGCGTTTCCCGTCACAAAATTACAATTTACAGTCGGCAAAAGTGTTGTGCGAACCCGAAGTTTTGTCAAACACTGAACGACGATGATGATGCCGCAACAGCAACCAATTCCGCGGTATGTTTGTGTTTCGCATTTTTGTTTCGGTTCGTTTGTTTTTCTAATGTCCTTCTGGAAATTCTTATTTTCCACTGTTGTTGCTGTTGCTGCTCAAATTACGTATATGTGTCAAACAAATACAAGGTCAAATGTTTTTTCGTCATTTTTGTTGAAACTGATGCCAACACTACGGGATTCGGTCGTTTTTTTTTCTTACCTCACTTTGCACACTTTTGATTAAGCAATTTTAACGGTTTTTGAACAGTTTATCTATCATTTAAATGTTTTTGTGTTTTTCTTCGTCTCATAAACATGATACTGACACATACCCCATCACATTTACTGCGAGTTTATTTAAACTTTGTTTTTATTTACTTATCTGTCTTATTTGCCACTGGGAAAACATGTTTTGATCTTGAGCAATATGTGCGATGACATGATTGTTGCCGATGTTGCTCTCGCCTGAATAGATAACGCAACTGAAAATGTGTAATTTGTGTACAAGAGAAAAATAAACATCAGTTTACTTGTTATCTGTTCGTTTCGTTTTTGTTGTTGCTTTGAAATTTCAAGCGTACGGAAACATGATACATCTTTCGTCATTTTCTAGCTATTGACATGGTTAATTGGAATTCGGAACAGAGGCTGAAATGAACACAAATGCTCCATTTTTTCATCATCGGTCGAGACATTTTACGAAGTCTTTAAATTCAACCGTAAATTCTTCTAATGAAAATACTCCAAAATTTTTCACATACAAAATAATTCGAATTGCCCTTGGCATTCACTTTGTCCCATCTTTCAAATACACACATACAAAAAATTCAAAGTAAATATTTGCTAATAAATTTAATAACCCTCGTTGAAATTCTCACTGAGTTAGTCACTGCTTTTGCTAGTTGCCTGAATAAATATTGGAATTTGCAGCACTGCTGCATATTTGCTTGAGGAGTATATTTTTATAAAAAAAAAATTGAAGCTTTTATTTCAATTTAAACAGACACCATTATCGATATCTGTTGTTGATGCGTTCAATTGGAATGCTCAATATTCAAATTGATTCAAAGGAAAGCACGTTCAACATTCATCTCAACCACTGTTCATTGAAAATGTACCGTGAATGTTCCGTTTGTGCTACCACTCCGACGAACAGGCCCCATATCCACAGCACAATGTAATTCAATAGTGACACAAAGAAATGCGTTCCCTGAAAAGCTCAAGGACTTTAATCTTGAATTTGTGTTTGTTGTTTGCGAGTGCTCTTAAAATTAAGTTATCTTAAATGTGGCTCCAGCTACATTATCCGTGACCGTCTTTTGTAAATAAGCAAAAAAGTGAATCGACGTGCGCGCTTCTCTACGCAAAACGTGTTATAGTTTCTTCGTTGGTATTAAAACATTTCGTCAGCCATGGTTCGTAGCATTCCAGCGTTAGATTCGTTCGCACGGAAAAAAAAAGTTTCCGTGGAAATGCGTAATGCAAAATGTGCGATAACATGAAATGGTTTTCATGAATATGAACATTGCTGAGTATATATTCAATGAGAGATAATAAGCTGTGTGTGTGTGTGTTTTATTTTTTGCCTGCGTCACCTGTTATCCATCTATTTTTGTTTGTCGGCCGAAATCGCCTTAATGCTTTCAGTGAACGTATCGCATAAAATGACATTTTTTACACGGTCTATTGACAGCAAGACGAAGATAGAGTGAGCCGTTTTCCGGATGGGAATTTGTGCAGCAAATATTCTACACAAAATTATCTCCGTCACTTTGCAAAGAAGCTTCGAGCATGAGATGAACAAAACAAACTCATGACAGTTATTCCGTGGTAACACGTCTCCGTCTATCTATCACTCAACCCATTTGATTGTTTGATTTTTTGCGTCACTGTCATAAAATTGGTGCTCGGCTCACTGTGAGCAATGCTAATAGCACATTATCGCTTGTGCACAAGACGACAGAAAAAAAAGCGAACGAAGGAAAAATGCGATTCACGGCTGCGTTGTTCCAAAATGTACATATGTGCTTTGTGTGTGTGTGTGTATGTGTGTGTGTGTGTATGTTTGGTTACGTTTTTGATGTTTGGTATTCATAAATTCCGGAATAATGTTGCGTATGAATAAAACTGATGCGACCAACGAAGCGCATAGATTCATCTTGAATGTGCAAATAGGCCATATAACATATAGATTATTATTATGATTTTGACGATACGTTGCGATCCACCAAGCGGTAGAAGTGTATGAGTAAGAAACAGTGGCTCACAACCAACTACCTTCACCACTTACAATTTATTTCAAATGACATGTGTGATACTATCATGGAAATCCGGTGGATGGAAAAAGAACACAGTACACCGATGAACCATATCATATCATTCGTTAATTTTTATACACTCTTCGCTCATTCGCTCAGGTGCTTTTCTAACCAACAACCACATCAATGGCAGAATAAAAAATACTCGCGTTCACTGGTTTTATGATGAAGATGTGGTTTTATGGAACAATTTTTAATGAAACAGATTGTATACAAGGAATAAATTCGCAAAAATCTGCCGCCCGAAGCGTACCCAGAGTCAGTGTCGAGATTTTTCAAATTGAATATTAATAATTAATCGATGTGATATTGAAAATGTACGAACGCAACCAAGAGCGTGCTCTGTTTTTTTCGGTATATTTTAATTTAAGCCAGATGGTTTTCCCATGACAAACGCAACGAATGATGTAAAAGGAGATAACGAAAGCAATTTCGTAGGCATTGTACGTGATGTCATAATCGGGCTTATTTTTTTCTCGTTTTGTACACAACCAAAAGCTTCATATCGGATAATTCAATACCTTTACTCGTCACACATTTCATTCTGTTTTTGTTTTGCGTGTCGCAATTTTTTTTATCGACTCCTTCATTTTCATTCAGAATTCGCACGAAGCTCGGTATTTTTCCCGAGGTTGGGAACTGTGGCTCAGTTTTATGAAACTCATCTTAGCTACCAGATGAAGTATGTTTTTCACACGCACTACGATCCTCTAAGGAGTATGTAGGGTGGCCGCAGAACGATGCAGCTTTAGAACTGTACGACAATGAACCGTACCAAAACAAACGGTTCGACTTTTATTCCGTAGAGATGTAAACAATGTTATCTACTAACTTCGAAGCTTGATGTGATTCACAACTTGTGACATAATAAGTTTATTGCACTTTAAAAAAACGATACTCAAATGCGGAATTATTAAGCGGAAGTGATATTTCAAGGTGAAATGTACAGGAACATGAAATTCATCGTGTTTCCAATTGAAAACGGTGAGGAAAACAAATTGACGCTAGTAGTGAATAAAAGTTTCTAATATTAAAATAACGATTTACATTCTATAAATAAAGTTATAATGTTCCACTACTAGAAACACCTTGGGAAATAGTAAAACTTATCATTAGATGTAATCTCAAGAGCAACTGGTATTGTTCATTGCAATCATTTTCGTTGAACAAATGATTCGTTATAAATATAGCTGTGCCATATTCGTATCTTAATAACCATCCTAAAAATTTGAAGTGATTATTGAGATCCGATCATAATACCGATAAATCTTAATAACGCTATCAACTTTTTATCAGGTTATTAACTATATTCAAATAATAACGTTATCGGATGAATCTTCAAATAAGAAAGATTGTTAGATTTTGTCAGCAATTCCATTGTAAAGATTGAGGTCGTTTCGTTCATGTTTAGCATCCAATGCATGATTTTTTTATTTGCCCCTGTCCTCTGCCCATTCCGTGAAATACAAGCAATGAACCACCGGGCGGAGCGACGGTATTATTGGTCGATTTTCCTGTCCTAATATCTGCATCCAATTGTGCAATTTTATTTATCCATAGTCTGTAAGAGTTTATTGATGCAAGAATATACATGATGTTCAATTGAAGTTTGTTTTTTGTTGATTCATTTTGGACGTTGCTATGCTAGTACACTAGAAGAAGATAGAACAATGGTGATTGTATGCTTCGTTTGAATTAACGTGTTGACTCAAATGATTGTTGGGTCAAGTGAACAGTGTGTTTACATAAGATTACCAAGTAATATATGTAAATATTTGAACACTGAGACAGTCATCGTTTTTAGAATAATTGTCGCGGGAAAACACGAAGCAAACTTTGGCAATAATTCAATTCTCTTGCTTTCATTCTTGCAAATTTTTTCAATGTTTTGTAGCGGTGCAAACATTTTTTTCTATCAATCACTTAAAAACGGCAATATCTTTCGTTATTTTTATTTCATCTCGAAAAAGCTACTTGGAGCGACGTTGAAAAATGGATAACTTCCAGGTGAACAGAAAAATTCTAGTATGTTAAATGAAAATGAGGTAAATAAATCATTGGCGCATTTTCCTCGCATATTGTGACACTAGCACATTGTTCCATTATACCAATGTTAATGGATTGGAGCATTTTTTCAAGGAAACACTACCGAAGACAGAACAAAAAGTTTTTTTTTTCACAAATTGTAATCCTCTATTCATTGAATACAAATTCAAAAACACGGAAACGTGCAGCTCTACAGTTTATAATCACGATTTTTTTTTTATTAAGCGTCAATCACTTTATTTATTCCATTTTACTTAAAACAAACAGAATATTCCGAAACAGATGATTTTGTCGGTGAATCTAGAACGAAAAATCACATTCTTCAACTGACCTGAAAATGATGAGTTTTAAGAAAAAAGTATTTAAAATCTGTGTATTTCATTAATTTTGATAGTTTAAAAGAATATTCACCAACGAGCAGAGTTAAACTGAACACGAGCAATGAGTAAAATAATCAGTGTGATTTATTGCTTCATCGGTATTGCTGTGTGTATTTCATTTTTGTCTCATAATTTTGTGCAAAATCGAGATGAATAATGTTACTTTTTCGTTTAAAAACAATATTTAGTAATGTAAAGGGTGTTTCAACAAGGACGCAAAAAACTTTAGATAAAAAAAACACATAAATTAAATTCCAATTGTCCAAATTTTTATTGCGTTATGTAGTTTGGTCTATGGCAATTATGTATGAAAGTGAATTTTATGCAAACGGCCTGTATGGCGCATTTTAATTGTGGCCTGTTTAGAGGAAAAATTTCACCAAAAAATGTTGAAAAATGGCATTTTTAATGGTAAAAAAATGCATTAAATATGGACTTACACACCTAAAAACGCAGCTACCGCACTCGCGATGAAATAATGTATCGCCAAATAGCCAAAACAATGGTCCAATTTTGTGAAATTTGTGAATTGAGTAACCAACCTATGCATTTGGCGCACAAATTTTCTGTCATTTTTGAAGCTCAATTCTGATTAAGTTATTATTTGACGGTTTTTCAAGGACATTTCATTGTTGAATCGATCTGGCTAAACAATTAGTGTCCCCAGCTGTCATTTAAAAGTATCAAATTCAATAATTGTCAAAGCCATTTTTGTAAAATTGGCCAAAGTTGGCCATG